GTCTGGTATCTGACACACAAGCTCCCTTAGAGGACTGGAAGAGAGATGGGATCAACTCTCCTTTTGTTCCTTAGTTCTTGCTGTGTGTTGAAACGATTCATTTACTAGGACAGCCACTGATGGGGAGGAATGACTCCGCCCTACACAGCAATTGATCCAAGCCCACCTTGCTAAAGGATTATCTTCATTTTACTATAGGTATGTAAGCCGGGTCATTGTCAGTGATGTGGCAGTTCAGAAGAAATGGCATTTCTTGTGCAATTGCTGGCTGGCCGTAGACCTCGGAGATGGAGAGCGGGACCGGGTCTTCCTACCAGCCTCAGAGAGAGAGCTCTTTTCCTTCAGGTACTGCTGGGAAATTGCTATTAATAGTAAATAGTGATGTGCTGTCTGGATGAATATACCTTGACCACCTGATTCATCTCTTCTCATCAGTATTTTTGGTCCCATGATATCAGGGCTTTTGGCGTTTTACATGTGGGAACAAGATGACAGACTTCAAAAAGTCTAAGCACCTTATATAAAAATGTCTTAAAGCCAAGTACCGTGGCTCACGTCTGTAATCTCAGCAATCTGGAAGGCCAAGGCAGGAGGATTGCTTGAGCTCAGGAGTTTGAGACCAGCCTAAGCAACAGTGAGACCCCTCACCTCTACTAGAAATAGAAAAGTTAGCTGCATACTACTTGGGAAGTTGAGGCAGGAGGATTCATTGAGCCTAGGAGTTTGAGGGTGCAGTTAACTATGATGATGCCACAGCACTATAGCCCTGAGCAACAGAGTGAGAAGCTGTCTTTAAAAAAAAAAAAGCCTTATAGGCAGAAAAGGTGGAAGTGTTTCTTTCAGAGCCTAACTCCCCTGTCCTTTGTAGAAATTGTGCTTAATTCTTCTTCACGAATGCTTCTTTCTTCTATGACTGAGTAGTCGGTGCTTCCAGAATAGCAAGAAATATTTTACTATTTATTAAGAACCATTCCGATTACTGTTGCTACTCCCCAAACTCAGTAAATTAAAACAGCCATCTTATTTTCTCATGATTTTGTGGGTCAGAAGTTCAGGAAGGGCTTGACTGGACAGTTTTCCCTTGGGCTCCTTCAGAGTCATCTGTGGGCTCCATGGTGTCAAGAGGTCCAGAAATAGCTCATGGCCGTGGCCA